TTTGCAGCAGACTGATACGGATTATCGCGCAAACTTTTTTACCGTGTATATGGAGCATTTACAAAGAGTCATTCATCGTTATTCTCATGCTTGGCATCTAGCTAGTGACCTTGGAGTTTATTTACATACGCCATTACCAAGAAGACTACTCCCGAACTATCAGCAGTTTCGACTGTTACCACCTACGGATGTAAAATTTCGTTTTATGCTTACTTCTGCTGACGTACTTATCTTGTTCTTTTCTTCATAGGGTCAGATAATATTAGAGTTCCACAATCCTCAAGGTGATGCTCCTAGTCAAGCCACAACCAATGAGCCTTCGTCTAGATTTTTAGACATGCCACCACCAGGTGATCCGATTTGCTGTTTTTCCCTAATTATTCTAGTATAGCCGTCAGGATTTCAAAATCTTCTTTGCAGGTGTTGACGTGGCAGAATTGAATGATCAAGAAGTTCGCATAATGGCCCTAAATCCTACAAGTGAGTGAAAAACATTTAATTCGTTTTTTCGAGACTATTGCGCACTTTTGATTTCTTAGCAATTTTGTTTGTATGTCTCACTTTCCTTCATTAATGTGAGAGCTGTAATCGGAGTTTTTCTCAAACTGCTCGTTATATAACTCAATTTAGTACGGAGGATGCAGCAGATGGGCATAGCCGTACCCGTGCCTATACCAAACGTAGGACATGTTCAAGTTCAAGCAGGTGGGCCACCTGGTGCAACTCGCATGGTTGCCCAGCGTCGGTCCGTTCCCTTACAAAGATATGGTCCTATGCAAGTTGCTCTTCGACATTCGCCTGGTATGCATATTTGCCGTGGTTATCTATATAATAAGCCGCATTGCAAATATTTTTGAGATTTTTTAGAACATGTTCCCTCACCGTCCTCCGGATCACAGGTTGCGATATTCGAGATTATTGATTACGAATTAAGATTTTCATCTTTGAGCTTTCCTTTCAAATGTTTTGTTTAGAACGGTGTGCCTGCCAGCCAAACTACTGCTCGGCAGCGATTGAATGATAGTCAAGCTGCCTCAAGTAGCGTGCACGACGCGACTTCTTCAGCAAAGTATGTCTGTTCATCCTTTGCATTAACGTGATAAAATTATATGCTTTCCAGTGTTCCACCAATGTCGTCTTTAGAGGTGAATCTCGTAAACGCACTAGAGTATGGTCTTCCATGTGAGTTAAGCATCATTTCTGACATACATCTTTTTCCTCTCCTTATTTGTATCATTTTGCATTCAGCAGCTGGATCTGGCAATCCTTACGAGCGCATTATGAGAACACTTCTTCAATTTGCTAGTGATCCTACGCACGATGTTCTTGGTGTTTTGCGTAGCCCAGCAGTACAACAGGTAGCTACGTCTTAGAGATTACATCATACATCAGCCGAGCTCAGAATAAAATTAAATTGTGGAATATAGGCGTACAATCGTGCTTTGTCAAGTTCTGGGGGCAGAAATGCGCATTCTCCAGCTCCATCTCAAGAAAATTCCAGTCACCCTGCACAACCGGTTCCAAGCTTGGGAAACATTGCCAGAGGAGTAATCACACAATCAGGTGCTGAAGTGCCTTTTATGTCGGTATGTTTATACTCGCTATATTCTT